GTGTTGAGTGTAGTTCACCCAAAATGAAAATTACTGTATGCAAAAAAATTCAAGTTTATAGAGTTTTAGTGTCGGTGGTACTACATTAAACTACTGTATTATGTTGAGTATAATAAAGCAATGAGGGGATATTTGTCAGTCCTGATAATGCCAAATGTCCTATGTTACCAATAAAATTGCAAGCATATTCATCTAATTCTGTATTATTTTCAGAATCATGAATTCTTTTTATTACGGTGTCTGTGGTCCAGTGCATTGGTTTCCCAGCACCAAGTCCAAACCTTTTCATTTCCACTCCCAATGTAATACCAAATTTAGCATTTTAGTCAACAGTAATTTCTTTGTTTACCTTTTACCATATGTCTTGCAATATCGCAATATCATTCGATATTCGGAGTTTACTATTATGATATATATCGAATCCTAACATGAGGGTATCGTTACACCCCTAGCCCAAAAGCTACTTAAATGCCCTAATTGAACAAAGGCCTATTCCTGGCTTAATCCAAGCCCTGTCTGTGTAATCAGACTTTTGAGATTAATTAACTTGAAAGTTACTTTACTAGATAGAAAAGGTGGGCATAAACATTTAAAATGTGTAAATTAGTATAAAAACAAACTCAGTATGTGTTTTCTTATTGATTTTTGCCAGATCTCCTCCTTCAGTGATGCTCCTCCTCCTCCAGTGAAACTCCTCCTCCAGTGAAGCTCCTCCCACTGCAGTTCACCAATAAACGCTGGAATATTCCCCTCAGCTACAAGTGAAGACGAGCATCAAACCATCAGGAAGAGCCAACACAAACACAGAGTTTATTGAAGGACAGTGAGAACATGAGATCCAGAACACTGCAGAATGAAACATACTGAAGAACAAAGAGGTTGGTGTTCATTCTTGATTCTTTATTAAAGGCACAGTATGTAAGTTTCGCCACTAGAAGTCGCTTATTCTAAACAAAGGCATAGCTTGATGATGCCGTGAATGAGCGTGGAATGGAGGTCTCCAACGACCACCGCTTCGTCAGGGCGACCGGCCCCCCGCCCACTGACTGGTCCCCGGACACGCCCCCGTCCCACAAACCCACTATTTTGTCCAATAACCCACTATATTTTTTAAAGTTTTTCCGCAGTTCATGCAATAAGCTGCAATTGGACGCGATCCCACCGGCAATCTATTGAATGGGGATTTGGGGGAGTATTTTTGATAGACATTTTAATTAAAGTTTCTGTCGTGATAAAAACTATTTTACTGCACTCAGCTAGGGCCCCTGAGTCCGTAGCACCAAGCGCCGTCCCATAATTCCACCGACCACGAACCCAATGGCATAAATGCTACGTGGGATCTCAAAATCTCAGCTCTGGAAGGGTCTAGAGCCTCCATTTTTGCACTCAGGTCTAAGTCCCATGGCCCTCTATCAGAATCCAGAGTTTCAAGAAGATTGGAGAAACTTATTTTTTGCACCAAAAAAAAAAAAAAAAACGACAGGGGTACCACTGTCGTTTTTTTTTTTTTTGGGGGGGGGGGTCAAAATTTTGAGTTTCTCTGATCTTCTTTAAACTCTGGATTCTGATAGAGGGCCATGGGACTTAGACCTGAGTGCAAAAATGGAGGCTCTAGCCCCTTCCAGAGCTGAGATATTGAGATCTCACGTAGCATTTATGCCATTATAAATATCTCAATATCTCAGCTCTGGAAGGGTCTAGAGACTCCATTTTTGTACTCATGTCTAAGTCTCATGGCCCTCTATCAGAATCCAGAGTTTCAAGAAGATCAGAGAAACTCAAAATTTCCACCCGAAAAAAAAAAAAAAACGACAGTGGTACCCCTGTTGTTGTTGTTTTTTTCGGGTCGAAATTTTGAGTTTCGATATCTCAGCTCTGGACGGGTCTAGATCCTCCATTTTTGCACTCAGGTCTAAGTCCCATGGCCCTCTATCGGAATCCAGAGTTTCAAGAAGATTGGAGAAACTTATTTTTTGCACCCAAAAAAACAAAAATTTTGACAAATTTTTAGTTGCTCTGATATAGGCAAGGTCTGCTCTCTCCCACGCACGTTTACCGCTTTACCGTTAACCGTTTTATACCTCGACGGTTTATTTTCCAGGAGTTATTTTTCGGCTTAAGCAAAATGTGGGTTTCTATTATACTCCAGCGGCAAAGCACAGCTAAAGCCTTTAATATCCATTTATGAAGATATTCATTTCATATTCAGCGAAATTCATGAGGTAGAAAATGTTATTATAGAGCCCATGAAAGCCAAAATGAGCCAATTGAGAAAGAAAGTTTGCATGTGCCTTCTGTGAGCACCGTCTCTCCAACCAAATGCCAAAAGTATTTTTTTCCAAAAGGAAGTCTACTGTTTTCATGACCATTGTCTTTTCACACAAAATGACTTGATTATCAGAAAACCTGATTAGCAAAGCCCAACTCATGCCATAGGTTGCAGTGTAGGGCTGTATTTTCATACCTGTAGGTCATTTTCTTTGTTCTGTTACGGCAAAAATCCTTTCCAACATCATCACTGCGTAAGAGACACTCAGAGTCGAATTAATGAAATAAAAGAAGTACTTTATTCTTGCAAGAAGGTTCAGTCTGACACAGAAGTAACGCTGTGGTGAGTGACACCCCGTCTGCCCCCTCCACACAGCTTTTATACTCAAACTCAAGGTTTCAAGTTGTACAAGTTAGCGCCTGATAATGACACTGCTGCAGAAAAGGTCAGCACTTGCTGACCGGCCTAGTCAGGATGACATCTGGGGTCAAAGGTCTTCTTTCCACCTGTTTCTATACGTTTCCCCATGCATGTTCCTCACGTAGGATTCGTAAAAAAGCACATGCTGTACATGCATCTTGTTCAACACAAACCTATCAAATCATTCATTGATCAACTTCTAATAATTAACTCTTTATAATTACTATAGAATCAAGCTAACTTAAAATTTTTCCACAACAGTTCTGAAGCACGGATTTAATTTTTACTCGTTCGGTTTGCTTTCACAAGGCAACATTTCAAAAGCAGCGTACCAAAATGTGTTTATGCAAGCCACGTGTATAAAACGATCCTCTTATTGGTCAGAGTTCAACCAAAGAGTATAGAAGAACAAGAAGCAAAACTCTGATGCTTTTTGGGTAAGGCCACTAGGTGGCGCTTCAGGAGCGCGGCCGCCATTTTGGGGTGAAAATTCCAACTGGAGTTACTGGACAACAGCATAGATAACAGTTTTTTTGAGGTAGTTTTTTCTTCTAATTTTTCCCAAGCGGCAAAATTGTAATCTGAAAAATGAAGCCTACCCGGAAATGGGAAAAACTGCAATACATCGAAAATCCGCTAGAGGTCGGTCCCAAAAAGGGGTGAATATCCATAGACCTCACATTAAAATGTCCGTTTTCACAGCATCAATTCATATGTTTACAGTTTGACTTTATATTGTATTTTCGATAGGTTCCGAGTGCCTGACAACTGTGAGGTGAGTGAATTTTTTTTCTAACTCGTTAGTTTAGATCGTATTTGGATGTAAAATGTATGAAAAATAAGGGCGGTTAACTTTGATTGACAGCTGATAACGGGCTGCGCCGAGTGGAATTGGACGTCTTGGCCATGATCTGACACGACGCATCTCTGTATCCTTTCTGAAACATTTGTATTTCTGAACATTTGTATTTTGTATTTTCTCAAGATTTTCTAATATGGCGCCGCCCATACCCCCCATAAACCTGTTCTTCAGAAAGTCTATGAGTGACGTCACAGACGCTTTGTCCATTTTTTACAGTCTATGGTATTTCCATTGTATGCAACTTTACACATTTACTACTTCTATTAGTTACCAACTCCATTAGGCCTGAAATATATTTGTACGTTTTTAATCCCCTGGATCATGCTACAAACATGATGATCATTGATGGCGCTGTGTCCGTTATCCTATTACTTTAATTGCCACTTTTGAACAGTTTTTTTTTACATAGTTTTGTTTTTAACGGTCATTAATATAAGATAATACTGCAAAATACTTGTGTTTGCAATGGAGCGTTCACTTCTTGTCAATATACGTTCTTTGGTTCAACGTTTTCATTCCTCAGATGGACAGAAGATAATCGCTCCGCTGGCCTTTGTTTATTCGACTGTAAGCCTTGATTCCTGCTCTGACTGATAAATTAAATATTAAAAAATATATTACATTTATGAAGCAAGTTAGGCTTCGTCAAGACCGCATTCTTGCAACACGGAATCCTGCACACGTTTCTCTTATGAACTGTCTGAGATTCATTCTTTGATAACACGTTACTTGAAGGGGTATGCATAAGACTAACATGATGAATATGAAGGAAGGTTTATGCATGTTTGTGACAACTGTCATTAAGTGTCTTTTGCTCAGTTATGAAAGTTTTAATGCAAATATGACATTGTTTGAGATGTCTTTTGTTTTGACACCTTGACATTTACCAAGCAGGGATGGAAATCAACTCTTTTGTCCACCGGCGGCCACTGTGGATTTCTAA